GAGACAAGCTGATCCGGTGCCAGATATATCTTTATTTTAATTGATGATTTTTTCCAGTATGACATTTGTTACTTCATGAAAAGTAAAAATGAAGTTTTTGAGACCTTCATACAATTTAAGGTGTGGGTCGAGAGAGATAAAGGTAAAAAAATCAAGACTTTTCGTAAATTATCAGATGGAGGAATTTATAAGAAAAGAAGGAATCATGCACCCAACGATATTTTATACGCCTGAACAAGATGGCTTTACCGAAAGGGCAAATAGAACTGTCGTTGAAAAGGCACGCACCATGTTACACGATGCAAAACTCAACAAGAAATTTTGGGAAGAAGTCCTGAGAACAGCAGTGTATTTAAAAAACCATTCACCTACTAAAAGCATTGGAAGGAAAACTTCTTTCGAGGTCTGAATGAATAAAAAGGTAGATTTCAGTCATTTAAGGATTTTTGGTTCTAAAGCCACATTTCAAGACAGAATTGAAAAAAATTCGATGCAAAGGGGAAAGAATGTATAATGGTTGGGTATTGCATTCCCAAAGAATCCAAAAATAATTTTGAAGGGTCGAGATGTTTTTTTTTTTTTTTTGAAAACGAATTTGGAAACATCTGCAAAGAAAAAACAAGGGACAATTTTACCCATGATTCTGATCCTTTTCTACATCATGATTTTGGTCAAATCATGGACGATACGAACCAACCTGAAGACAATGACGAAATGGATCAAACAAAGAAAGTCAGTGAGGACAGTATTACTCCATTTCAAACAATAATGATAACATTTTACCAAACGACATAGAAGATAGAAGATAGCCACTACGCGATAGGAAAACGAGAGAATTCCCTGGAATGATAAGACATGAAGCCTTTCTATTACTCATTCCACAGCCTTTAAATTTTGAAGAAGCAATATCCTGAAAAGACACTGTGGAAATCCGCAATGAATGAAGAATTTGATTCGTTGATAAACAATCAGGTTTGGGAGCTAACCTCGCATCTGGTTGGTAAAAAAACTATAAAATCCACGTGGATATTCAAAAAGAAGTCAGATTAAAATGATAATGTTAATCGATACAAAGCTCTTCTTGTTGCTAAAGGATGTTCCCAAACTTACGGTGTTGATTTTAACGATACGTATTCTCCAGTAATCAGGTACTCAACAGTAAGGCTCCTATTGGCACTATAAATTGAGCTCGATATGTCCGTCGACCATCTAGATGTGACGGCCTTTTTAAATGCAAGTGTAAAAAGAGGAGATTTATATGGAACAACCGCTGGGGTTTGTGCAAGACAAAGGTAAAGTTTGTCGTCTAAGAAAAGCAACTTACGGACTTAAACAAGCGTCAAAGTCGTGGTATGAAAAAATTAATTCGATCTTAATTAATATGAATTTTAAGCGTTGCGTGTGTGTACCATGTGTTTATTGCAAAGAATCTGGTATTAAAAAGTTAATAGTTGCAATATATGTGGATGACATATTAATCCTAAATGACTGTAAAAAAGAAAAATTAGAGTTGAAAAATCGTCCTGAGTCAGAAATCCAAATTAAAGATTTAGGAACTGTAAAGAACATTTTCTTAGATCAAAGCAATTATATTAAAGAAATAATAGAGAGATTTAATATGCAGGATTGTTTAGCCGTAACCACGCCGTTAGTTGTTGGAACCAAATTGGCAAAAGCTACCGTAAGTAATAATAACCCATATCGTGAACTAATAGGGTGCCTGAATTTCTTAGCTACGTGTACGAGATCAGATATCTCATTTTCAGTAAGTTACTTAAGTAAATTTAATAATTGTCATGATGAATCCCATTGGTTAGCAGCAAAAAGAGTTACAAGATATTTGAAAGGCACGATGAACTATCACTTACGATTCGAAAAATCGAATTTAAAAGTTTTTGGATTTGTAGATACTGATTTTGGTGCTGATAACATAGACAGAAAATACACAGGTTATACATTTTTACTAGGTAAAGGAGCTATTAGCTGGGAGCTGTAAGCTTATATATATGTGTCCTTATAACAGTCGCCTGCCTGCTTTTTTCCGTTCGTACTGTCTTAGCATGCCATTATCGTATAAGTGCGAATTTATTAAAGTGCCTTTTTAAATCAAGTCTCTATGTTTATTTTAAATATTCCAAGAAAATAATTGCACTAGTTTTTGCAAATCGGTGTTGCACTCATTCAAGAAAGATTTATTCTATTTGAGAAAATCTATTGATTTCTATTTTAGTAAAGACGACTTTCATAATTAAATCTGCAATATTGCTAAAAAATGAAATTAACATTGATTTTCAACAGTATTTGACATCAGAAAGGTACTAATAAATATTTACGGAAATCATACTCGGAATAGAAAAATATTCACTATGTGCACTACAAATAAATATTTGCACTACTGTTGATATTCTTAAATGCTTGCATGAAACATGCAAGATAAGTTCAGGCAATGAGAATCTCTCGTTAGATACAAATGGTCTGCATTTCACCTCATGAAATTGCGCATTTCACGATTATAACTATATTTAGAAGAAGTTAGAGTTTTCGAGCGAAAAACGAAGTCAACTAATAACTAACAATCAAATAATTCGAAAATTATTCTGAAGTGTATGGTGACGAAGAAAACTCTATCGTTTGTGCCAAATGTGAGTTAAACGAAATATCTCTGCGTGACGATTCGTTACGTGTCCATCGTCGCGAGACGCAATTGAAACAGTTATTCAAGATTGATTTGACAGACTACACGTCATGGAGAAAAGTTCTGTCGGAGTAAGCAAATATATCGACTAACCGCGCCATCTATTGTATCTATTATTATATATTGGCCTTTGCTCTGTGTGTGTGTGTGTGTGTGTGTGTGTGTGTGTGTGTGTGTGTGTGTGTGTGTGTGTGTGTGTGTATGGGGGGGGACTCCACGATAGTCTTTTGTTGTATCATCTCGTGCGACTTCTTGTCTTGTCTGTCTCTTGTTGGATCACCTCATGCACTACAAGCGTATTGAAATAAAAAGTTATTCATATTATTTAAATATACGGATAAATTCAAAGAAATAAAACAAACAGTTTCATTGCTTCTGTCTACTCAATCTAACAGATTATGGGCACAAAAGTCAATTAATTAAACTGTTTTTTCGTTAATCTGTATATCGCTGTGCACTTGGTCTGAATTAAAGACTCAACGGTCAAGACGACACCGTATAACCGTATGATACCGTGTAATCATATCGGTGAGATTTTCCTACACCATTCTATTATAAAAAGGAATACGCGAAATTGTGAGTAAATCGTCAATTTCATTCTGAAAGAGTTGGATTTTTTTATCTTAACGAAAATATCTTCAAATGAATCTACCAGCAATATGGCAACGGTCAACGTTATTGGTAATATTCCGAATATCGATCCTAAGTTAAATGGTACCTGTAATTATTCTTCATGGAAATTCGTAATGAAGATGATATCAATTGGATTAGACCTGTGGGAATGCATCGAACCTTCTAATACTTCCGTTATAGATAATAAGAAGGATCGAAAAGTCTTAGCCGCTATTTGCGTGAGATCGCACTACCACATTCATTTGAAAGATGTAAATTCGGCCAAGATTGCATGGCAAAAACTTGGCCTAGCCTATGAAGACACAGGACTTTCGCGTATTTTGTTTCTAATGCCATCACTGTTCAAACTAGACTACGATAATTTTGAAAATATGAACCAATACGTTTCAGAAGCGTTTTCTCTTTCACAAAAGCTTGCAGATATCAGTAATCCTGTAGACGATAAACTTTTAGCCGTAATTATTTTGGTTACCATCCGATTACAAACCCATGGTAATGGCGTTAGACAGCTTATCGACGCCAATTACTACTGAATTGGAGGGCGCTTGAGCATGTGTTATCGGGATGACCGAAAGTGAGAAAAGGAAGTTAATTTGTAGGAGTTTAGGAAAAGTGCGATTATAGGAGTTTTGGGGAGGTAGAAGCAGAAGGAAGAACGATAAGTTAGAGGAGAAAAAAAGAAGAGAAAGAGAGGTTAGAAAAAACAACGCGTTAGAGGATCGGAGTGGTGACATCATGTGGAGCATCAGTAAACAAGAGAGGAGCACAGCATAAGGAAGATAATTGGAGAAAGCAGAGAGCTTAGGAATATGTAAGGAGGGATTAGAGGAGAGAGATCTGTGAGAGAAAAGAAGGTAGAGGTGGAGAATAATGAAGGAGGATTGGATAAGATGGAGAGAATAAGGGGGGGCAGTCACAAAAAAAGATAAAAGATAAGGAAGGACAAGAAGAAGAAAAAAGGAAGGATGTGGAGGAGCTTAAAAAGATCATACAGGAAATGGGGCAGCAACAGAAGGAGATGATCCAGGGATTAGGGGATAGCGTGGAAAAGAAAATTGGGGTGGAGATGGGGAAGCTCAAGAATGAAATAAGGGACGAAATTAGAAAGATGGAGGAGAGGATGGTAGAAGAAAGAAGAAAATTAGAAGAAAGAATAAATAAGATGGAAGAAAAGATGGGGAAGATAGAGGAGAAAGAAGGGGAAAAAATAGGAGAGAAGGGAGAGGCGGAAAAGGGGCAGAGGGCAAGGAATAGAATTAGGGCGATAGGAAAGAAGTTGGAAAGAAAGGAGGGAAGAAAGGAGAAGGAATATTGTAATAAAGAAGTAAGTTGCAAAAGAAGTGGATCTAAAAGGAGAGGAAAAAGAAAAGGTAGTGGAAAGGATTATGGAAAAGATAGGTGAAAAAGCAGAAGTGGAAAGTATAAACAGGATAGCAGGAAGAAGTTATATGGTAGTGGTGAAAATAGGAATTTTAGAACAGAAGAGAGGCATAATGCCCAATAAGTATACGGGAGAAAAGGAAAAGTTGAAGGACGACCTCACAGAGAGTGGGCGGGGAATGCAAAGAGAACTAAGAAAAATTGGGAAAAGGAACGGAAAAGAGGAAGGAGGGCGTGGATAAGATATGGGAAGATCCAGATAGATGATGTATGTTGGAAATGGAATGAGAAGGAGAATGTGCTAAAGACTTAGGGAGGAATTAGAAGAGAGAAGTGAAGAGAAGTAGCTGGAGGTAGGAAAGGCAGGAAAGAAGGGAGCGAAAGGAGTAGGAGGGAATGAAAAGAGAATGGAGGAAAAAGGAAAAAAGAGTGAGAGTAATTGGAAAGTGGGGTTCTGGAATGTGGTAGGATTAGGTAATAAGGACAACGAATTCTGAGAAAAATTAGGAGAGTGGAAGATTATGTTTCTACTGGAAACATGGTTAGAAAAGAAGGGATGGGGAAGGATCGAGAGCAAACTGCCGAAGGGATACAAGTGATATAGACAAGATGCAGATAGGAAAAACAGGAAGGGAAGAGCAATAGCAGGCATATTAGTGGGGGTGAAGAAGAACTTGGTGGTGAAAGAGTTGATATCGGTAGCGGAAGGAGTGATAAAATTGAAAGTGAGAATGGAATACGAGGTGTGGAGATTGGCAGGAATCTACGCGTTAGGAGATGTGGAAGAGAAAGTGGAACGAATAAAGGATTGGATGGAGATAGGAGAAAAGGAGGAAAAAGGAATAATTGGAGGAGATCTAAATGCAAGGACGAGGGAACTGGGAGGAAGGACATAGGGAGAAGATGAGGCAGAACAGGCAGGAAAAAGGAAGTCAAAGAATAAGAAAGTGAACGCGGAAGCTGTTAAAGGCGATAGAGGAGGCGGGATGGTTTATTGTAAATGGAAACATAGAGGGAAACAAGGGAGGAGAATGCATCTATGCGGGGCGAGAGGAGAGGCAGTGATTGACTATGTATCAACAGATGAAGGGGAAAAGGAGGGAATAAAAAGGATGGAAATAGGAGAGAGAGTAGACTCGGATCACTTTCCACTGATTGTGAGCATCAGAGGAAAGGGGGAACGGGAGGGAAAAAATAAAGGGAAAGAAAAGAAAAGATAGAGAAAAGATTGAACAACGGAAGGTGTGGTGAAATTTAGGGGAAGATTAGGAGGAATGGGGAGAAAAGGAAGAAGCACGGAGGAAATGATAGAACAGGATATAGAAAAAATAAGAGAGACGTTAGAGGCAGGGGAGCAGGAGGGAGGAAGGAAGAGGACTGGATGGTGGTATGAAGAATGTAGGGAAAAGAAAACACAGGTGAGAAGGAAGCTGAGAAGCTGGAGAAAAGGAAGTAGGGAGGAATACGCAAGAACAAGAAAAAAATACAAGGAGCTATGTGAGGAGTGGAATGAAGTGGAAAGAAAGGATTATGAGAAGAAAGTGGAAGGTGGAAGAAGGAGGCAGAGGAGGCTAGATTAGAAAGAGATGTATGGAGAATGGTGAACAGAGGAAGAAGAAGAAGGGAGAGGATAGGAGAGAATATTACAATGGAAGAGTGGGGGAGATATTTTACGGAATTAATGGGTGAGGCAGAATGGAGGGTAATGATGGGAGGCAGTGAGAACGATGAGACAAGGGGAGAAAGATGGAGATGGGATTAGAAAGGAGGAGATAACGAAAGGAGACTAAAAGATGGAAAAGCGGTAGGAACAGAGGAAATACCGAGATTTGGAAATACGGAGGAGGAGAGCTAGAGAACTTGGTATGGGAAGTGTGTAATGGAGCATGCAAAGGTGAATGATGGCCAAGAAGCCATGAGGAAGGGTTGATTGTGTCAGTTAAGAAGAAAGGGGAGGAGAAAATAGTGCCTGAGTACAGAGGAGTTACAATAACGGGTACTTTATATAAAATATAAGCGTAGTAGCGGAAAGATTGGTGACAGAGATGGAAAGAAAGAAGATACTAAGTAAGGGACAGACAGGCTTTAGCAAAAAACTAGAGACAATATCTTTACGCTGAACTATATAATAATAACTATATAATATATAAGTATACGAGGGTAAAGAGAAAGAATTGCACTATTTGTCGATCTAAAGGCGGCTTTCGACTCGGTAGACCGGGTGAAGTTATAGAGAAAAGAGGAATAAGCGAAAGTATAATTAAGAGAGTGAAGAGGATATATACGGAAATAAAAAGCAGAGTAAGAGCAGGCAGTGAGACAGGAGAATGCTTCTGGACAGCGAGGGGAGTGAAACAGGGATGTCCACTAAGTCTGCATCTATTCAATATATTTCTGTCGGATTTAGAGGAAAAATTGGAAAAGGGATGGTGGGGGGGGGGGGTGACGATTGGCAAAGAAAGGATTTACTGCCTTTCGTACGCGAATGATATTGTACTGTTAGCGGAGGGGGAGGGAGAGATGAGGAAGCTGATCAAAAGATTATGTAAGTACCTAAATTAAAAGAAGCTATGTTTGAATGAGGAAAGGACGAAAATAATGAGGTTTAAAGTGGGAAGAGGAAAAATAAGTAGAGTGGAGTGGAAATGGAGAGGAAAGGAGTTGGAAGAAGTGAAAGAGTTCAAATATTTGGAATATAAACTGATAAGGAATGGGAGCCAAGAAGCACAGATAAGAAAAAGGGTGAAAAAGGCAGCAACGATTATAAGAGCGGTATGGGGAATCGGAATGAAACTCTTTGGGAAAAACTGTGAAAGGAGGGTATGGCTATTCGACAGACTGGTATGGACAGTGCTGAGCTATGGAGCCGAGATATAGGGATGGAAGGAGAGGGCTTGGTGGAAAGGATCCAGGAAAGGTACTTGAGATGGGCGCTGGGTAGGGTAGGAAGAAAATGGCGAGGGGCGAATAGGGCAAAGAAAAGTGCAAAGTGATAATAGTACAAGGAATGAGGCCAAAGATAGGGTGAGGGGAAGGAAAGGGGAATAATTAGTTATAAGAGCGGGCTTAATGGAATATATAGTAGGATGTTAGCTATGGTAATGTTTATGATGTAATTAAGTAGTGGTTATTATATTATTATTATATTCGATATTAGGGAATGATATGTGAGTGGAGGTTATATGATGCTAGGCTAGTGAATGATTATTGTATTTATTTCTAAGAAGAATGTATGGAGGTGGAGAAGGAGCGGAAATTGTAATCCTAAGGGAAAACAATATAGACCTATCTATCTGTCTATCTATTTGCTACCGAATTGGTGAAAAGCAGACTGTTGCAAGAAGATGTCAAATCGCAACTCCAGAACAGAACAATGGACAAATCGTCAGATGTAGCATTTGTGTCTGAATGCGAACATAATCATTACAATAAAAAGAAACTACATTTTCAGAAAAAAGAGGTCAAATGTTACGGGTGTGGAAAAAAAGGCCGTATTAAACCAAATTGCAAAAAATCTCAAACAGGAAGTTCGGAAAAGAATTCAAATTTCCAAAAGGATCACCGAGATAAATGGGGTATATTAGCTGCTCTCATGGCTGACATAAAAAATAATGCATGGTACATCGACTCCGGTGCTACTTGACCACATGACTCCAGATAATACGTGGATAAAAAATTACAATCAGGTATCGAAACAAAATATAATAGTCGCGGACAATCAAATTCACCAAGCGATGGGAAATGAAGACGTATTTGTAAATCTTCATTCTCAAACTAGAACGATTTCAAACGTCTTACATATTCCTAATTTAAATGCTAAATCTATTATCTGCTAGTAAACTAGCAAGTAAAGGTTTTATATTAGTCTTTAACGAAACGAAATGTAATCTTTATTCATCCGTAAAGATAATTTTTATGCTAAAGGAAGTGTAGTAGCAACAGCGACAAATGGACTTTATAAACTCGACGTTGCTACTCGATTTGCTACTGAAATTGACTACAAGGAGTCAACTATGAAGCTCTGCATAGTTTGCATTAAGGGTAAGCAGTCTAAATTAGTGGTGTTGCAAGGTAAAGAACCAATGATGTTTTGGAAATTGTGCATGCTGATGTGTGGTTGTTCTCGAAAAACCAAACTGGGATGATGAGGTTCTTAATCAAAGTATAAGTGAAGAGCAAAGTTTAAGAGAATGCGACGAATACGTACAAAGATAATATTCAACAAGTTTTGAAAGACTGTACAGCTGTATAGTTGTGCGTGAGACGTCCTGAAAATTCCATATCATTCTTGAGAGAATACTTTCAAAAACTGGGACGGGTGACTGCCAGTGAAACATTAGCAACTGAAAGAGGAATGAGAGCAGACAAAGTTGAGTCAACCGTGGAGGATTTACAATTGAAGCCCGCAGATGCTGATTTTGCAAATGATATTGAAGATCGCAAATCTTACAGCGGATATGTATTCCTGTTAGGCAAAGGTGCGGTGACCTGGGGCGAGTAAAAAACAATCTTCTGTAGCACTTTTCACCAGTGAGCTTGAGTATGTTGCTCTTTTTGAAGTGAGAAAGGAAGAAAAATTTCTGAATAGTTTACTGCTCGAGATCACAAGTGAAAACACACCTATAACTCTTTACAATGACAATCAATCTGCACTTGTCTGGGCGAAAGAACAGATACCGTACAACCGCACAAAACATATCGACATAAGAAACCAGATGTCAGAGAAAAGACATTTTCTCCGACAAAAAGTTAGGAGAATTTACAACTCACGTGTCGCCTACGTTATTGAATTGCGAAGGCCAAGTTTAGTTTTTTACAGTGCGTAAAACGTCTGAACGTTTAGCTTTAGAAATTCGGTCACAATAGCATTTCTGCGAAGCGTCGTAAACACTTGGATTTTTAAGGGCCACCCAGATCAGCATCTGAAAAACACTTGGAGAAAGTAAGTGAGGCCCAGAGGAAACCCTGCTACACCGCCATAATTTAGGGAAATCGGTCCCGGCGAAATTGCAGCCCCACTCTCAGAGAAAACGCGTCACGAATGCAAGGAGTAGGCGGTGCAATTTCATGACAACCCAATTGGGTAAAACTCAAAAACGAATCGGCCAATTAGGAATGTCTGAGACGAGAACCGAGTAGCGAAGAAAGCAGCGAGCGCACAGAAGAAGGATTGATATATAGATATAGATAGAGTAGACAATCAGAAGAGATTGGTAGATATACCGTCATACGAAAAGATATACCCACGACGTGAACATCGATCGTCATCTACATGTTCACCACGTCTTCCGAGTTATCGCGTCCCCATGTAACTCAGTCAAATAAACTTAGTTAACCATGAACAAGAGTCTACTACAATCTATCACCTCGCACTATCCCGCAAAAAAAATCCCCAAAAGCTAGTATATCGTATTTCGTCAGAACTTAAATATCTGGAAAAATTTTCTGAAGTCTCAGAAAATTGATCTATCATTAAATCTACAAATTGATATATCATAAATCAAATGAAATGAAACTGAAGAATCAAATACACTGAAGAGTAAACTTTTTTCGGGGTTGTCACCGGCTCATGACGCTCCATGACATTTCTAGAAAATTTCGACTAATTTTTGAAAATGATTATCTTAATTCGTCATTTCAGCTTGTGCTGAGCCTCCCACTCGGGAGACTTTCCCTTTGGTAATAAACATTTTTGATTTTCTCCCTAATAATAAAATATTCTTTCTCCAACGGAACTCTTGAACTCGATTGTGAATTCAAATTTAAACAACTCTGAATTCAAGCTTCTTAGCTTAACTTGTCCGATACCGTATCGTTTGCCAACGTGCATATGTGTCGCAGGAGCTGTGGTGGAGTTCGATCTCCGATCTCCGTATTAAACATTATGTATTCGTATCAAATATATATTCGTATTGAAATTATTTTTTATATTCGAGAAAAATAAGAAGATAGAATATTATATTGAATATTCGTATAGAATTAAGAATAGAAATAAGAAAATTCTAATCTTTTCCTCTATGCATAATCAATAGCGTCGAAAGTAAGATAAGATTTGTAAGAGCACCGAATAATCGTTACAAACTCACCTTAAGCACATCCACTTACACAAACTAACTAGCCAACACAAACTATCTCCACTTAATTCTTTTTAACAAAGAGAAACAAAGACATCACCTAAAAATGAGCCACATCCTTTCTTATTCTAATTCTCACTCCAGAAACAATTACAATAAGAATCAATACAAATAGGTCTTGCGTTGACAAGGAAAACACTTTATGCTTAAAATTTTCTTGTATACCGAAGTTCTTTGTCAATTCACCAAGTCTGGTCTAGATTCTTTCTATTTCTTAATTATCTATACTTAATTATCAAGTCAAGAGTTCTCTAGTCAAGTGACACTCGAGCAAGCGGTCGATTTGAGTTGTTTTTCACCCGTTCTATTCTATTTTAATTCCAATTCATTATTATTTCTATGTCCAAAGCGTTACTATTTCTTATATTATTCGTCGTCGTTGCCAAACAATTCCTTACCTGTAGAGATTACATTACATTCTATGGATTTAACGAGTATATACTAGTTCAAATTGTGCGCACCACACAGTGGACTGTAGTACATACAAGTGATAACTACATCATTAACTAACCGAATCGCTACTTTACATATACCTGTTCTTACCGTAACCGGTTACTTATACTACATGTGGTAGCCGTTACGGCTACAAATAAACTTATTTCTTTTTAAAAAAAAATGCAGAATTTCAATTTATTGCAAGAAATGTACAGCTTAATTTTTAAATAACAACAAAATAATCATGTATTTTTTCATATTTAATATAAACAGGATATGATAGGAATACAGTTTATTTCATTTAAAGATAAATGAAGAATTTTGGTTAGAGAGTGGAGGTGACAGGTCACGTTTGTGGAGTGAGAAAAGAAATAGAATTAGCGATAGAAAATCCAATCCGAAAATAAAAAAGAAGATGTGGAAAGGAAAAGTAGGGAGCAAAAGGATAACTAAAAGGTGCAGACAAAGGGAAAACAGACCGAAAAGACAAGAAAGAGTAAAAAGACCAAAGAGAAAGAAGTTAGAATGGCAACAAGAGCAAGCAAAAACAAAAGAACGATGGAAAAATTTATGGTCGGTGAAGCAAGGAAGCAAGGCAGTGACGTTTGGTGAAAGTATGAGTGAAGGAGACAGGGTAAGGAAAGAAAAGATTAGTGCCAAGGAGAAAACATGGGAGGATATAATGGAAAAAGTGATGCAGAAATATGTAGAAGAGATAGCGAAGTAGAGAGTAGAGATAAAAGAGGAGAGAGAGACGGAAAGAAGAAAGAAAGAAGGAAGAAAGTAGAAAAGAGAAAGAAGAAGAATGGGAGAAAGAAAGAAAACAACTAGAAAGAAGAATGAGCAGAAAGAGGAGCAGAAAGAGGAAAGGAAGGAAAGGGAAAGCAGGAAAAGAAATATAACGATAAGGGGAGCGAAATGAGGGGAGAAAGAAACAACGAAAGAGGTAAAAGATTTTATAAAGAAAAATTTAAAAGCGAACGTAGAAATAGAAGCGGCATGGAAGAGAGGATATAAGAGAGATGGAGAAATAGTGTTGGCAAAGCTGACAGGCTGGAAAGACAAAAAAGAAGTAATGACAAAACAGAAGAATCTAAAAACCGGAGTTTACATAGAGGATGATCTGACAAAAAAGAAAAGGGAAATACAAAGCAGGCTAAGACAGATAGTAAGAGAGAAAAGGAAAGAGGGAGAAAAGGCGACAGCTGGATATATGAAAATGTGTGGAACAAAAATGGTATAAATGGAATGAGTGGGAGGAATGCCTGGAAGGAGAAGAAAGGGCGAGAGAGAACTGAGATGAGACAGGGTGTTCTGTGCTGTTCTAGAATGTGAGAAGATTGGGTAAAAAAGAGAAAGACTTCTGGCAATTTATAGAGAAATTCGACTATGGAATAGGACTATCTGAAACGTGGGTGGAAGAAAAGACATGGGAAAGGATGAAGAAAAGACTACCGAAAGGTTACACATGGGAATGCCAGAATGCACAGAGAGAAAAGATAAAAGGAACAGCGAGTGGAGGGATTATAATCGGAGTGAAAGAGGAAATAGAGGAGGAAAAGAATGAAGTGAAAAGAATAAGCGGAGCAATGGGGAAGAGGATAAGACTGGGAACAGACACATGGCTGATTTGGACAGTTTATTGTAAGGGGAAAATAAAAGAACAAATATATTTGAAACAGGAAGAAAAGGGAAGAATTAAAATGATGATAGAAGGGGACTTCAATGCAAGAACGGGAGAGAAGGGTGGAATGTACGACGGTAAAGAGGAAAGAAGAGTATCAAGAGACAAGAGAAGCAATAGAGAGGGGGAACTGATAAGGGCAGCTGATAAGGGCAATAGAGGAGAATGGATGGTACACATTTAACGGAAACGTTAAGGGAGATGAAAAAGGAGAGTACACATTCGTGGGCAGCACGGGGCACACGGTAGTCGATTACACTATAGTAAATACAGAAGGAATAGAAGAGTTCAGAGTTTTAGAAAGAATAGAATCAGATCATATGCCACTATATAGCAAATTAGGATACAAGATAAAAAAACGAAAAGGGAAGGAGGGAAAGGAAGTGAAAGAAAGAATAAAATAGAATGAGGAAAGCATAAGAAAATACGAGGAGATAACAAGCAGGAAGGAATACAAACAAGAATCTGTGGAAGAAAGATGGAGAGAAATAAAAGAGGCGGTCCATAATCATGGAGGAAACGAAACTGAAGATTAGATTGGCAAAAAGAGCAGTAGAGTATGAAGGAAGGATAGAAAGAGAAAGAGAGAGAGGAATAGTAAAAGAATGCATAAAAGAAAAGAAAGCAGGAAAAGGGAACCAAGAAAGAATAAGGGAAAGGCAAGATCACCTCAAAACGTGTGGTTTTAGCCAGATAGGAGTAGAACAATTGTGGAGAGAAGAGAGACCAGCGGGGAAAATACTAGGGAAAAGAGAAGCGGAAATGCAAAGACAAAGACAGTGGAATAGAATTCAGAAGACAAAATACAATTGGAAGTATAAGTATCTGGTAAAAAGAGAATTACCAAAATACCTGAAGGAGAGAAGGAAAAATGGAGAGCAGAAGGTGATAGCCAGAGCAAGATGCGGTACCCTAGAAAATGGAAGTAAATTTTGGGCGAGAGAAGAAGAACGGAAATGTCAACTATGCGAGGATGGGGAGGGAACATTAGAGAATTGGAGAGACTGTAGAGAGATGGAGATAACATATGCAAGTCTGGAAGAGATATTGAATGAAGAAGGCGGGAAAGAAGCGGTAAAATGGCTTAGGCAAATAGAAAGGAAAAAGAAAGATAGAGAGATACAAGGAGAAGAGAAAGAAGAGATAAGACAGGTCTAAAAGAGCAACAAATAAACATGAAATAAAATGAAAAAATTAGATTAAGATATTCAGTAGACAAAAGAATAGCATAGTTAAGATAAATATAAGTATAGGATAAAGCAAAATAGGATACAAGATATTATGTAAATATTATAATATCTTGATATATTTTGTCTAGTTGTTTCTTTACAAAGAACTCACGCAGTGATACTGGCCAAATCAAGGATATTGAAAAAAACTTGGACATGCCATCTATATAAGATTTTAATATGCATAATATGAATATATATATATATATATATATATATATATATATATATATATATATATATATATATGTATATAAATTTTTATGTATAATTATATAAATTGCAATTATTTAATCAGCTTTTTTATTTTGCTTTGTTTATAGAGGTGTATTGACTTCAGTGATTATAAAAATTTATCCAGATTTGAATTAATAGAACTATATAAACGGGTGGCTTTACCACTGCCTCAGAGACAATCTGAGAGCATTCAAAATTCAGATAAAAAACAACATAATGAAGGAACTAATCATGTTGACGAATTACATAGAGATTCTATCTTAATGTAAATGAAGATATTTACCTTGAATTTATTTAATACAAAATTGTGTCTGTTTTTGTATTGTACATCTTACTAAAATAATTACATCAATTTTTTACAGGAATGGTACAAGTACAAAAACAGATATAAATGGAACAACAAAAATAGCAGAGTCTTTTTATGTTAGATCAAAATCCCCTGCGAATGAACTTAAACAAACGTCAAAAAAAATATGTTTAGATAATTCAAATAATTTTACACAATCTAATGGTATTGACAAACGTATTAATGACGAAAAGCACGATGTATGTATGTCTTTTAAGTATTCAATTGCTTATAATCAAGATCCATTTATATTATTATGTATGTTATGTTTGTAAATATATGCCTCATTCATGATTAATATGAATTGAAAAAGTCAGAGGATTAAAAAATAAGGAACATGAATGATGTTTATTTAAACATCGAATAAAAATTTTCATATATTTTAGGATGCTCCATCAAGGAAGAGACAAAAGATTACATGGCCATAATATTATAGCATATTAAGTGTACATGGTATATAAAAGCTATTTTTTTGAAACTGAATGTTTATTTATGACGTTACCCGTTAAAGTGGGATGTGTAGATTTCTATGAAATTTATACTAAATAACATTGTCAATAAGAATTTTTAAGGTAAATTTACAACATGTGAATTAATTTTAGTAATTACGTTCATTGAATTATTAGTTAACAATGTTCAATTATTAATGATAAATGTATTTGTATCATTGTATAAAAATAAGGCTGCTAAAATAGTTTGAATATTTTAATAATATTTAAATTATTTATATTTTCATAATGTAAAGAATATTTTATATCTTTTTTAATTTTATTTGAATTAGGAATAAAGTAGAGTATTATTTAATTCGTATTTAATATTTTACTCAATCAAAATTAACATAATGAATATATTAACATGTATTAACATAATATATTTTATATGTATTTTATATGTACCACATTACATATTACAGTATAAATATTTGTCTTCAATTAGATGTTGAAATATAATTGAATTTTAAAAACATTGATAAGGATGAATAAAAACATAGAGTATAATGAGTGTTTGATAAATTCATTATGCAGTTTAAAATGACATTTTTGCGTAGTATGAAACTATCATTGTCAATAAAATTGTAAAATCTCAGCGTAGATCCCATCTGTAGATTTAATCATCGGTTCCAGATACCTGTAGTTCTCAATAAAGCTATTTTATGATACTCCTTGTTTACCCTTTGACTTTCAATTACTTTCAAGATATTCTCAACTTATATTTAAGAGAACATTTTGAATAACTAAGAGAGATCAGAAAGACAAGAGAAGGGAGATACGAGCATTCCAAAGCGGATCAGTCTGGTTGTTTAGTATTCTTCGCACCATGTGCTCGTATGACGGAAACGTTACACTTACTACTGTGACTAAAACTATACGAGATTACGCAACGGTGAAAGCACAACAGTTTTAAGCCGGAAGAATTATTGTCCGAATTGTTCTTTTTTCGTTTCATCTTCTTCAATGAAGGATAAGTATATTGCGATATTATATTAAATGAATTCCAAAGATGTTATAGATAAGATAGGTGCAAGATATAATTTAAGCTAATTAATATACTTCATTGATGGATAGAAGATGAGAGTTACATATTGAAAGTTATAATCTAATTAAATAAATCTGTGTTGAAAATTATGTAAAAATGAACGTTCGTGACACAATAAATTTGTTTACAACAGCTACAGGAACAACAGTTTCCAATATCAGATTTCAGTTGATTGAGGAAAGACGAAAATTAACGCTGAAATGTCAAAAGATATACAATGTGCAGCTATTGAAGAATGAAAAACGAGAGCGAAACTTTTGCTACCGTATCGGAAGCGTTGTCACGTACGCAATGCATTGAGAACTACGATGAGCATCGATTCACGTACGCTTACAAATTGACCACCCCGTACACCTATAAATACGTTTGTCACTGGAAACCAAACAGTCAGTTTCCTCCTTGACTTTCGTTCAATCGTAGGATTATCCAATATACCAATCGACATGGCTATTAAGGTGAGAAAATGATTGTTAATTTGATTGATTTGTTTTATTAATTCACCCTGCCCTATTAATTGAATTATTGGGTTGTTGATTATTTCTGGATACATAGAATACAATATGTAGTTTTTAGAATTTAAAAAAAAAAGAAAATACTAAAACTATATTAAATAATTTATAAATAACGTACTCGTGCACTTGTTAATAGAAAAAGACTCAAAACTCAGCACATAACTATAGTTCATACGTTTCTAGTGAAATTTTCATGTATGATGTACATATGTATGTTCTAAATCTAATAAGAAATTATTAAAAAATTGTACATTCGTTTCCCTTTTTTTTTTTTTAAATATTATCACTGTAACTTAATTTATACTTAATTTTATTACTATAAATTATTAATTTTATATTCATAATATATTATGCATATTGTAATTTAATCTCAAGTTTCATTTTTACCATTTGATTTGTTAAATATCTCTTTGTAGCAAGCAATTATCGTATTGGCGATTGGTGTATTCGCAACGTGCAAGGGAGCAGCAGTTCCTCTGCCAGCAGTTCCTCTACCAGCGATACCATTAGCCAAAGTTGCGCCAGCGCTTAACTACGATCCTCATCCGCAATACACTTACGCCTATGACGTCCAAGATAGTCTGACTGGCGACTCGAAAAGTCAACAAGAAACCAGGAATGGCGATATAGTCAGCGGTAGCTACAGTTTCATTGAAGCTGATGGCACTAGGAGGATCGTCGAGTACACGGCGGACCCTGTGAACGGGTTCAACGCGGTTGTTCACAGAGAACCTGTGGCTGTCATTAAACCAGTGGCTGTCGCGAAGGTTGCCCCGGTAGTTTTTCATCCTTAAAAAAATTCAGCTCATTATAATTTATACCTCGTAGAAGAGGATGGATAAGACCAGTCCTAATGATACATGGAACTTGCTAACGTTATCAGAATGAATTAATAGAACATTAAGTTGGTATCAACACGACAGGAAATGCACATTCAAAATGAAATGTACATAATATTCCTGATCAATGACATGATTTTTATGATATGTTTTTATGTATCACTCGAGCCACGAATTGCTCAACACTTGCTTATACTATAGAGAAGAGATTGCGTTCGCCTTTTTCTACCGCTTTTTTATGTAGCTAGTCATATTACACTGTATATACTGCAATCATTTTATAGTAAAGTGTTTTTTAAGATACACGTTTATCATTATGTAATCATTGGCATTCCTATGATCCCTATAATACCTGTTTCAATTTTTTGACATTAGTGAAGGTTGAGATTTGTATTTTCCTCTGGATTGTTTGCATTCGTTGACAAATTATATTTCTATGTAGTTAAATAAATGTCTTCGTGTAAAATTAGAAAAATCTTTTCTGACGATCGGAAAAGATTAGAAAGATTAGGAGGTCTTTTTTTGAAGTTGTGAGGTCATTTCTTTTCAACTTACTTTTTGTTTAATACTCGAAGCTTGACAGCACGGTAAAAAGCTTGTTAATCATGGGAGAAATTGTTAATTTGTAAATTACGGTGACTTTATGATTGTACGACAATCAGTATGACTTCTTTCTATTTCAGAATATAAAGTCTCCGCTTTTTCATGTTTAGATCAAATCTTCTCGAAGGTATTTTCATATCTAGAAATGGGCAAGGAAAAGCAATAATTCTTCGTCAGAAAAAAAAACGCCGATAATTTCTACGGTGCGATTCTAATTCGTTTAATACTTAATCTTGAAGGCAGAAGACTCTTCTTCGCTTTGAAAGTTGTGGTTGTGGTTCCATTGATCTTCAAATGAAAATTGAGCCAACTCAAAAAAATTTTCATTCCAAAAGCAAGCCTACACAGATTGTTGCACGACTATTTTGCACAAAGCAGTTCAAAGAAATTTTCAACCAAGATTTAATTAACTTTATTTACTTACCAAGATCTTATTTCATTTATGTACCAAGATCTTATTTATTTTATCTTTTAACTCTGCTGTCAATTCTGTTTATCTGAGTTTTATCGCGTTTCATAATAAACGTAGGTATGACAATAACACATCGACGACAAATAACAATTGCCGCAACTCCTCCACAATGATTTATTTCGAGAGAAAGTTCGACGAATTGTGGATTACTCATTGTTCCTCATAAATGGCCTTTTTTACAAATTTAAGGAGGAATAAGCAACATCCTGAATGCTTCGCTTTTACGTCATCTGTATATGTACATTAGGCACAAAAATATCCAAAATACTTACTGCGTTACTCGTAAGTTACCTTTCTCCGAATCGTGTGAGAAAAGAATGATCTAACATCGTTCCAAATGTTCGTGATGATCGATCATGTGAAACCAGAGACATTGAGCAAGATAAGAAGAGGCACGATGAATAGAATTCACTGCCTTTCGTAATTTTCGTCGAACAACCTCGAATGACTTTCCTCGATGTATCAGCATACAAATGACACGGCCGCTCACACTTTTGTCTTCACTTAAAATTCAGCAATCGTGTGTGAAATTTTAAAGCTCGACTGGCACATATTCCGGAGAACAGCCGGTATATTAAAAAAAGTCAATCGATGATTATTATAACTGAAGATTTCATACTGAAGATTTCCCAAAAGCACGCGTCGCACTGCAATTCTCAAAATATAAATAAACAGTCTGAAAGAAATTGACGAGAAATTTTAATAAAAGGACAATTATAATTATGACGAGAAGAATAATAATAATTTAGACGATAAAGATACAATGGCGAAGAAGATACAATGGCGTTCCTCTCTGTGTTCTTCTATCTGGCGGATTGTCCTTCCGCAATCAGACTTTATAAATCATGAACCCAATTCAATTTGCAACCCTTTCCAATCCAATATTTGTACTTTGATTAAACTCTCGTGTTCTGTAAAATGAAATTCCATTAAAAAGAATTATAATATATAGATATATGCTTATATTATATATATATATATTTTATTAATTATATATATATATATCATATATTTATATAATATTATATATTATTATGCTTATACTATATTACATATTTATATTATTATAATATTATATATTACATATTTATTAATTATATATATATATATGATTATATTACATATTTAAATGTTAAAAAATCTTGCTTATATCATATATTTATATAATATTATATATTATTATGCTTATACTATATTACATATTTATATTATTATAATATTATATATTATATATTTATTAATTATATATATATATATATATATATGATTATATTACATATTTAAATGTTAAAAAACCTTGAACCCAATTTAATTTGCAGCCCTTTCCATTCCAATATTTGTACTTTAATTAAACTCTCGTGTTCTATAAAACGAAATTCCATTAAAAAGAATTATATATATATATATATAATGTTTATTAATTAATATTAATATATATATGCTTATACTATATATTTATATAATATTATATATTATTATGCTTATATTATATTACATATTTATATATATTTATTAATTATATATATATATTTGCTCATATTATATGTTTAATTATATTATAATTAATATTAATTTTATCGACCTCCATCAGTGATTATAAAAATTTATCCAGATTTGAATTAATAAAACTTATAAACGGGTGCCTTTGCTATTGCCTCTCAGAGACAATCTGAGATCAGCAGTTAAGTGTTAATTATATATTATATTTTATATATTTAATATAATTGTAACATATAATTTATTATTAAATATATAAACAATAATATTATTTTCAAATTTATAAACAATAATATTATTACTTTCAATGTATAATAAATAATTTAATAATTTATAAATTGATATATTAGCATATTAAACTAAATATATTAAATAACTTATATATTCAATTATAAATAATTATACTATTTATATAGTATTTATAGTATATTTATATAGCATTTAATATATAATCATGTTATAAATACATAAAAGACATTAATATCATGTCCACATATGTATATGAATATATCCAAATTCTATGATTTTATGAAATTTCAAGAAACCGGAGCAGTTAAAACATCATAATAAATCGCGACACGAGCTTGGAACTTGGCTCGAGGCGACCGCGCAGAAAGTAGCCGGTTGCCACAGTGTTAAGAAACCCTTTTGACTCCCTCTTGCGCGTTCTTAGCCAGAGGTGTCGCGGCGCGACGTAAATGCTAATAGATAAACGATCGCGTAACATCGGTACACTTTTTTGAAGTGCGTGCACCTTTCGTCAAGAAGAAGAAGAAGAAGAAGAAAAAGAAGAAGAAGAAGAAGAGGAGGAGGAGGAGGTGTTCACTGTTTGAGTTCGCGGTTTCGTCGTCGCTTCGACCTCGAAGGCCGCTCCGTATCTTCGACTATATTGGCATACAGGTCGCGTGTACACGCCGCGACGATATGAAGAAACATAAGCGCGGCGCATACTTATCCGCTCGTGATTGTACGTACGTTCATATGTATGTATGTATGTATGTATGTATGTACGTATGTATGTACGTCGCAACGTTTATGAGGAGGTCATCGGATGGCAAAAGAAACAGAGAGAAAGAGAGAGAGAGTACAATAGGCAAAAGAAGGAGAGATCAAAGTGGGGGCGGTGTGCATGCGTGTCGAGGTGGCTCGAGTTTGGGTGCAAGGAATAGCTCGGGTTATTGTTTGGCGGATGACACGAAAACACCGACGGTCATCACGGCGTATAAAAGTACGACGAATCTTACCCCGAGGCATCAGTCCTCTGGCGATCCTCTTGCAAACAAACATGGCTGGAAAGGTAAGGAGGCACGAATCGAATGTTGCCACGAGGCCAACAAATACAATCCATCAATCCCCTTCTCGTTGATCGTACATTCACACCTCTGAATTTAGAATATTCATATATATACATTGCATTTCTTCTTTTCCTTTTCTCTTAGCTACGCTACTCTCTTTCGAGCCACGATTTTCAAAGAGCGAAAGATCGGAGCGTATCTTCGTCCGGGGGTTGAATAACATAACGATAGTCAAATTTTAACTTTCCACAATAATGATAATGTAATAATAAGTGAGCTACTAGAAAGTGAGAAACTGCTGATTTGTTAACAACCTGTTGCAATACACCATGATAAGGAACGAAATGCGTGTCTGATACCTATACAATATATATCCAGTATATCTAATACTATTAGATGTGTTTAATAATAGTTTTAATAATAATATAATTATATAGTAATCATTATGATAATAAATAATAGTAATAATAATTATAATAGTATATTTATAATTATTGTAATTATAATATACTAAGTAAGTATGCTACTTAAGTATACTACTAAGTAAGTATGCTACTTAAGTATATTACTAAGTAAGTATGCTACTTAAGTATACTACTAAGTAAGTATGCTGCTTAAGTATACTACTACTAAGTAAATATACTAAGTGAGTATACTACTAAGTGAGTATACTATTGAGTGAATATACTACTAAGTGAGTATACTATTGAGTGAATATACTACTAAGTGAGTAAACTACTAAGTGAATATACTACTAAGTGAGTATATTACTACGTGAGTATACTACTAAGTGAATATACTACTGAGTGAGTATACTACTAAGTGAGTATACTACTAAGTAAGTATACTACTAAGTGAGTATACTTACTAAGTGAGTATACTACTAAGTAAGTATACTACTAAGTGAGTATACTACTAAGTAAGTATACTACTAAGTGAGTATACTACTGAGTGAATATACTACTAAGTGAGTATACTACTAAGTGAGTATACTACTAAGTAAGTATACTACTAAGTGAGTATACTACTAAGTAAGTATACTACTAAGTGAGTATACTACTGAGTGAATATACTACTAAGTGAGTATACTACTAAGTGAGTATACTACTAAGTAAGTATACTACTAAGTGAGTATACTACTAAGTAAGTATACTACTAAGTGAGTATACTACTAAGTGAGTGTATTACTGAGTGAGTATACCACTAAGTAAGTATACTACTAAGTGAGTATACTACTAAGTGAGTATACTACTAAGTGAGTATACTACTAAGTGAGTGTATTACTGAGTATACTACTAAGTAAGTATACTACTAAGTGAGTATACCACTAAGTAAGTATACTACTAAGTGAGTATACTACTAAGTGAGTATACTACTAAGTGAGTATACTACTAAGTGAGTGTATTACTGAGTATACTACTAAGTAAGTATACTACTAAGTGAGTATACCACTAAGTAAGTATACTACTAAGTGAGTATACTACTAAGTGAGTATACTACTAAGTGAGTATACTACTAAGTGAGTGTATTACTATACTAACTAAGTGAGTAATAACAATATAATACAATAACAATATAGTAACAATACTATAATATATTTAATAACACGTTGCAATACATTTTTAAATCTCAGCTCATCATACTCATAAGCGTGGCGGCGCTCTCGAAGGGAGCGGTGGTCCCGGTGGCGTTGCCAGCGGCATTGCCAGCGGCAAAGCTCGAGGAACTGGACGCGTCCCCTCAGTACAGCTTCGCGTACGACGTTCAGGACGCGTTGACCGGCGACTCGAAGGCCCAATACGAGACGAGGAACGGCGATCTGGTGCAGGGTAGCTACAGCCTGATCGAGGCGGACGGTACTCGACGCATCGTCGAGTACACGGCGGATCCAATAAACGGGTTCAACGCGGTGGTCAGCCGAGAGCCAGCTACCGCCGTGGCCGCCATTGCCGCTCCGCTGGTACCGTACGCACCTGCCATTGCACCTCCAGTGGCAGCAGCAGCAGCAGCAGCAGCAGCACCTGCACCAGCGCCAGCGATCCCATCCACCGGCCCGGACTCCGACGTCGAGGTCGTCGAGGCTAGGTCCGGCCCACTGGTCGCAGCAGGCGCGATCCCTCGCGAGGAACAGCTCCGACGGCAGCAGGAGCAGCAGCTGCAACAGCTGAGACAGCTGGAGAGGCAGCAACAGCAGCAGCTTCAACAGCTTCAACAGCAGTCCAGGCAGCAGCAGCAAAGGATAACGCAGCAGCGGCGAGGAAACGAGCAAGAGGAGAGGCAGCAACAGCAGCAGAGACAATCCCAGGAGCAACCACCACTTTCGCTTGGTCAGGGGGCGCCGGTGAAAGCTCTCGCCTCTCCGGTACAGTTGGCTGCGCAACCAGCGAGATTGGTCGCGGCCAAACCTCTCGCCAGCTACGCGGCTTATCCTGGCGCGTACGCTTACACCGCCGCGTACACGTCGCCGTTAGCCTACGCTGCACCCCTCGGCGGACTCACTTACGCTCCTGCCACCGCGCTTCTCTAAAGCGACAATCGTCACCCTCTGCCCGTGAGATCTCGTTTTGTCACCCTACGACTAACTTGAGCCGAGTCGAAATAAAAACAAGTGTAAATTGTTTGCAGCCAATTGTTTCTCAGTCCAGTTTGTCCCCGATTCCTTCCGTTTTCTCAAGTCGTGTGCGACTAGCTGGCGATGATTCTTTGAATGCTCACTGAAACGAGAAGTGCAACAGTCTGATATCGATCGATTTAAATTGATGAATTTTTTTAAGCATCTTACCTGGAAGATCAAACTTACTGCTCGTACGACGTATGGACTGAATGTTCGATAAATCATACTGTAAAAAAAAAATGAATCATTGAAACGTTAGTTACATTGCAACTAAATTACAGAGTGACTAGTGAAATACTGAAGGATGTTACACCGAGAAAAATCCATTGATTTGACGTTTCCGAATAAAGTAGCAAAAGAATTGAAAGGACACGTGTTTGTAAAAGTTATTTTTGTTTTATATCGTTCAGCCTTTCGGTGGCCATCCTGCACGAGACACACGATTTTAAGGAATATTGTGAGAGAAACTTTAACTTCTCGTCGGGGAAAATTTCTAAATCTCATCTTCAGAGAACAAGCACTTTGTTTTCACGTCTTCTCCTCCCTCTACTCCAGATAAATCTCTACCGATCAAGTTTCCCCGGTTTGAAACGAGACGCTGAAAAATCAAAAACAACCACGAGCGCCCATGAAACTTGCCAAAATATCCAACAGCAACAAGATCGTATATATCTTCTTCGTTCTACAATATTAAACGTCGCAGCTGTTTTTTTTTTTTCACAAAGTGACAAAGGACGTGGCATTTTCATTCCGTGCAGCGCGATCGTTGCACCGCGCGCAAAACACGGAGGACTTATTATTCAACAGTAGTTCTTCTGGTTCTCTTCTGGTGGATTACGTGGAGGAGCTGGTGAACAGGGAGGGCCATTGTCCCCGTGATCACGGCGGGCCCGGGTCGATTACGTCGTCGCAGCCTACGTGACTACGTGGAGACGTAATAAGTAAAAGCGTTGCGGGATAACGTCGATCAATGTCACAGACGTGGACGACACGCGAACCGATCGTTCGTCACGTTCGATTCATCAACGCAACACACGACGTCGCGTCTCGTCGCAACTCTTTTGTCTTTTGCGCAAGGGTACTATACATACTGTTGTATACAGGGTGTCCTGCACGTCGAGCTTCGTCAGTGTGTTTTACACGTAAAAATTGGGAATGCATGGTACATCGAGTAGTATAATACACTTAATAGAATATATAGTATATAAAATATAGTATGTATAATATGTAAAATATGTGTAAAATATGACAGAGATGTATGTATTTAATATATTTTAATCTAATATTATCTTACTATAATATTATAATATGTTTAATATAATATATATTAAGTATATTAAGTATATTGCTACAATACTATAATATACTATAATATATAATTACTATACAATAATATACTATAACATATATTGCTATAATACTATCATATAACATATACTAAAATATACTATATATAATATGTGTATGACAGAAATACATGTATTTAATATATCCATATTTTACTCTAATATTATCTTACTATAATATGTATCTAAACTATAATATGTTTAATATAATATGTATTAAATATAATATGTTGCTGTAATACTATAATATAACATAATACTTAATATAACATACACTAAAATGTATTGTATATAATATGTGTATGACAGAGATGTATGTATTTAATATATCCATATACTCTTGTTATGTTACTATAATACTATAATA